GTGTAGAAAATTAGAGAACCAGTCTCCACAAATCAATTTCAGATTTAGGTTAATGATTCCAGATTTAAACAAAACCAGACCGTATAACTTAAACCATAAATGTTTATTTTCTAAATATTATATTTGTTTAAATTAATGGTGGAACAATGTGCATGTTTATGTTTTGAAAGTTTATATTTCGAAAAATCATGACAGATTAATGTTGAACAATATTTGTTTATTGTTATGTTTTTGCTTAACTAGTGAATATTATGAGAGTAGTTTGTTTAATGTGTATGTTATTATTATTTTTATAATTTATGATAGGTTAATTTTTTATTTTAAAAGTGTTATATTATTTTTCTTGTGAACAGATTATGTGAAATAGTGGTTCCAAACTGAACCGAACCGAACCGAACCGAACTGTAACGCCTCGACTTTTATTACTCGAATAACATTACCATATTCCTTAAATGAGTCCATTTCAATTAGGGGTGGTCGTGGTTAGGATTAGAGCGGTTTGCGGGTCGGTTTGGACCCGTCGCACCTATGCGATTTGAGGAAAAGTCAACCCGCAACCGCCCGCAGTGCGGTTTTTGTGAATAGGGTTCGCAGATGTGCGGACAGTTGCGGGCCTTTTGCGGATTGAATTTTTTTCTTTAAAAATTTATTTTTGAGCCTTTTTTTTTCCTATTTTGTAAATATTTATTTTGGACCATTTTCCTTCCCATTTTCTAAAATGTTCCAACATTAATAATTAATGAATTAAAAAAACACCGATATCTAATATATACGACAGAAACATACTGAAGTAGTCACTCCCAATTAGTTTCCAGGAATAATGCTAAGGTATAAAATCACAGAATCACAAGTCCCAAACTAGAGACTACATCATCAAATTTCCAACCACAGACAACTCAATATCACCTAAAAATCCAAAAAATGATAGTTTTACAACCCTTTCCACATAGATCGGTCTAATATCACAATCATTCATTGAAAACTCAAAAATGATAAAACAATAACCTCCAAATCAATCTTCAACTTATAATTCAGCAAGTAAATATTGACAATTTACTCAGTCCAATTAACAATTTCACAGAAATCAGTAGATAACACACCAAAATATTCATTTCACTCATGGGCAAAAACACAAAAAATTACCTTATTATTTCTTGACAAAAATGGCACATTTCACTAACCAAAAAGAAAATATTCCTGAAAATCTTTCACACACAACTCTCTCTCTCTGTGTCTCTCTATGTATGTGTGTGTACATATATTTGAAGTGTAGACAAACATAATTCTTGATCACATCACAAACAAAACAAAAATATCTATGATAGATCATAGATGAACGGTCCAGGTTTAAAAAAAAAATATATTGTATATTTTAAGTGTAGGCGGGTTTGTGGTGGGTGCGGTTCAAACACGCAACCCGAAAACTTGCTATATTCCAAACCGCACCCTACCCTATTGTATTTGTGAAACCGCCCATACATGTGCAGGTCAGGTCGGGTCGAGTAGGGCGGGTTGTGCGGGTCAGATAACGCTATGCCCAACCCTAATTTCAATATTGATAAATATGCTGAAGCAATGAAGAAATAAATAATTTACGATGTTCCCTCTCATATACATGTAATGAATTACGATACGCGCCCGCAGACTTACATTATTAAATATAGATAAACGAAAATAAGCAAAGGGATTAACCCAATTTACAACACATTGGCATTCCACCTACAATTATTAGGCCCCATGGTCAACAAATAAAAGACTTCAAGTCTTGTGCAAGTGTTCACTTTTATACCTGAAAAATGATTAGCAACGCGTGATGAACACAAAGGTTCACTAGATATCCCAATAATCCCAAATATAGGTAATGTGACATTTCATATTTCAAAATGTGGGGACATATTTTTTAGGATGTCCACATGGCCGAGGTGGGTTGCCGAGTGTCACGTGGATGAACTAGGATGTCGAGATATGGTGCGACTATATCAGAATCTGAGATATTCGAGTAGAGGACAAGAGTCCTAGATGGTTTGAGGCTCTCTGTTTGGATAGAGATAAGACTCGTAATAGAGTTCATTCTAATTTGAATAAGAGGAGTCCGTGATAGATGTTATCATGGTAAGGGATAGAGTCCTATGAAGTGATACTTCTAAATGACGATAGCATTTATGATTATAAAAGTAAGGCACCCTCGTGGATCTAAGGTATGCTTTTTGCTTATGCATTATTACTTGAGTTGTTATGTTGTGAGATAAGTAGACTGACTTGATCGTTGGAGTGCCCCCAAGTGGACGAGCCACCGTGGTGTTTGTTGTCTTCTTGTGTGCAGGTGTTGGGCTTAATCTATTCTTCCTTATGTTCTACAGCTGATTCTCTTAGATCTCAGCTAGGAGTCCAGTTTGGTTGCGAGGTCAAAAATCAACACCCATAATTTGGCACTGTCTGTGGGAACTTAGTGAGAATAGATGGCCAACATCGAATAAGGAGAACAAGTCAGAGATGACCTAGTCAGTGAGGAGGAGGAGCATGTCGATCTCAGTGCTAGAGAAGGAGAGAAAGGCTACGATGAAGTGCACGAAGTGAATCCAGAGGCAAACAACATAGCCAAGGGCCATCACGGCCTGAGGAAGGGCAACAGAGGTAGATGAGAGCCTGATATCGAAAAATACAACAACGAAAGTGATTTCCAAGTATGGAAGGATTGATGCTTATGAAGGGACATTGAGGTCAAAGAGCTAGCAGACAAGTTGACCAATTAGCAGACAATGGTAACTTTATGATGTTGAGCAAAGTGATGCAGTCGGTATTGCCAACACCGACTACGCCCCTGGTCACTGTGAGCGACAAGGTCCAGCTGGTAGGACAAACCATGGCACAAAATAATAGAAAAAGAGCCGGAAACTCACCATGACAGTCTCAGTAAGTCGGCACGGTGGAGCCACTAAGAGTGGAGCCTCTAAGAGTCGCGATATCCCAGATTAGAGGATCATGCTAGGTAAATGGGTAAGACCATCAAGTGGAGAGAACGATGGACCACAACAAGTCCAAGAGAACACATCCAAGCACAAGGAGTAATATGCCAAAGAGATTGAAGTTAGTGAACATCAGAGGAACAGGGCGATCAAAGGATGATCTGCATGATTACCTTTAGAGAAAGAGGAACATGGCTGAAGTGACATTCGTAGCACAATTGAAGTCACCATTCTCGGTGGAGTTGAACGCTTTTGAAGCACTAAAGAGATTCAACATGTCGAGGTTCTAGGTATACGACGGCTAGTCCGATCTCAATTTCATGTCGGCTTGTATTTAAAAAATATGTCCTTATAGAGTAGGAATGACTCGCTATTGTGCAAGGTGTTCCTTTCAACTTTGGGAGAGATAGCGTCTAATTGGTTCTTGAAGCTGCCAAAAGGGCCAGTCAAGAACTGGGAAGGTTTGGCTGAGATGCTCGTAGCCCAATTCATGACCAACAACATACAACCATTAAGAGTGGTGTAGACACCCCATTTTGACCGCCCTTAGACTTGGGTGCCTCATGTTGAACACTCGATGATGAAATGTTACGCTGTGCAAATTGTTCAAATTCTTCAACAAAAGGCTTCGGTTTTCAAGCTTAGAACCTAAACCTTGCACCCCTTTTGAGCAGAAAACATAATTTTTCTAGCCTGACCACGCAGAGACCTATTGGCCAACAAGTGGCCAGTAGGCCATTTTTGGTTGGTTGGTTGGTTGGCCGGCCGCCCTTTTCCATGGCCGGCCGGCTATGTTTAGCGGCTGACAGATATTTTGCAGCCCGCTGTCCCCCCATGTGCATGTCTTGCACTAGCTGGCTTTTTGTTTATATTTCCGACGTGGGATAGTGTTTTTCTATAAATAGATGACCACCCTTCTTGGTTTGGGATTAGAAAATTTTGGCCAAAACCAAAAACTTATCCAACACACTTCCTCTCTCTCTCTCTCTCTCTCTCTCTTGCATTACACATAAACTATCCATACACTTCCTACACCAAAAACTTGAGGCCTCTTGTTGAGATTCTTGACCCTAAATTTCAGCTCTTGAGAGTGTTCACCTTGTGATTTGCTTAACCAAGAGTTCTTCTTTTCAAGAGGTATAACCTTTGCCATCTTTTGCCTTGTTTACACTACAATTTTCTTCTCTTCTATTCTCTTTTTCTTGTCGTATATACACTGTTTTGGACTAGTTTTAAGGGCTGAAACTTCTGATTTAAAAGCTACCAAAGGTAGAGGGTTAACCACCATTTCTTGAACCTTATCCCATAGCTTATATCCTTATTCTTCCCACTTGTTTCTTTGCTTTTGGCCACTATTTTTCAGAGTGTTTTTAAGCTTAAAAATGTGATTTTAAGTCATAAAAGAAGGAGGGGTTAGCCACCTTTTCTTTGCTTTGTTTACTAGGCTTCTTTCCTTCTATTTTGTTCAAGTTTTCTCCCATTTTCAAGTTGATTTTCAGCACTATTTTGTGCTATTTAGGAGCTGTTTAGTGTATTTATTTAATTTATGCTTTGAATATTATGCTTGTATTGTTGTAAGTCTTTATAGATTTGGTTGTTTAGGCCATAGACACTAATCCATTTGAGTTGATAGCTCTCTCTACATAGTTTTTATACATAGAGTCTGACTTGTAATAATCACCTTTGCATAATCACTTCTGCAATCTCCCTAACTTCTTTGTTTTCTTTGATTAAGAGTTGTGTCCAACACTAGATTGTTGCTTAAAGCATAAGAAAGAGACTTTCCATGCCTAATGGTTGAATCTCTTCGGAGGTTCATTACCAAGGCATTACATCTCTCTCATGCTAAGTGGACTCCTCGTTAGCTCTGAAAATTGACAATGACGAAAGCCTTAAGGCCTATGCCAAGATATATTATGAGGTCTACAACTGAATTCCAGGATTTGACCAGGAGTTAGCAGTTGTTTCTTTCAAGAACGGCTTGGATAATGATACCCCACTTTGGCAAGCTTTGGTGAAAACCCTCCCGAAACAATGGAAGACTTGATGGCGAGGATTGAAAAACATGCCAGAGCAAAGGAGGATAAGAGGTCGAAATGGGAAAGTATGACCAAGCAAGATAAGAGAAATAGCTCGCCCAAACGAAGTCAAAATGGGGCTGGTAATGACAATGGAGAGTCAAGGTTAAAGGCGATACAGGAAGTTTGCACTATCTTCAAGATCCTGATTTACAAAATTCTGGAGAGAATCAGGAACCAACTCTACTACAAACCACAACAGAAGGTCCCAGGGGAGTTGATGAGAAGGTTCCATACTAAGTCATGTGCATACCATGATGAAACAAGGTATATAACTCAGGGATGTTGGGTTCTGAGCAACACTTATAAGATCTTGTAAGATAGGGACATCTGGGGCATTTGATTGATAAGGAGAAAACAAGAGGAGCATGCCAAGTTGGCACAAGCACCACCCCCGCTGCCCACTACTCATTGGGCTGAAGAACCTCAGGTCATTAATGTGGTCCATTTGAAGGTGAGCCCAAATGAGATCAAGAGGAAGACCTGGAGGGTGAAACACTTACAACACGTGTTTCAAGTCCAACAGAAGAAACCTCAGATAGAAGAATGTCAGGGGCTAATGATTTCTTTTATAGATAAGAACTTGGAAGTTGTCCAACATTCACACCACAACACATTGGAGGTGACCTTGATGATTAGAGGATATCGGGTGAGAAGAATATTGATAAATCAAGGCAGTTCTTGTGACATCATGTACGTCAGGTGCTACAAACAACTCAGCCTTCATAGGGACGATTTAGAGCCATTTGATAGCCTAGTGGTCGGATTTAATGGGACACTGACTTGGCCGCTGGGGTCAATGAGTTTGGATGTACAAACAAGAACCAAGACAGTAACATCGGAGTTCACTGTGATAGATACTTCATCTCCGTAAAATGTGATCTTGGGAAGACCTTGGTTGCATATGATGAAGGCCATCCCTTCAACCCTACACCAACTATTGCGATTTCCAATCGAGTATGGCGTAGAGGAGGTCAGAAGAGACCAAGTTTTGGAAAAAGATTGCTCTATGGAAGTAATGAAGTACACCTACAATGTCCAAGATGTGAATACTACAAAAATAGAAGATGAAGACTGCGAGGTCTTGGAAGATGTCGTCAAAGCGACAGCCGGCAAGAGTTAGGAACCATTGAGGAAGATTATGGTGAACAAAGAAGATGAATAAAGATTTTTCCTTCTCGGCTCTAGGTTAGCTGAGGAGGAGAAAAGGAAATTGGAAGATTTTTTGAGAGAGAACATGGAGGTGTTCGCAAGGACACCATATGAGATATCGGGGGTGGAACCTAAAATCATCTGTCACAAGTTAAAGGTAGATAGATTGGTGAAACTAGTAATTCAAAGAGCAAGAAGATCTACCCTAGTCCATGTGGAAGTAGTAGAGGAAGACATGGAAAACACTACAGGAAATATGGGGTTAGGTGGCGTTTTTTTAACGGTGTTTTTTAAAACACCATTGTTTCTAATATTTAATGGCGTTTTATAAACGTCTTATTTTTTTGTAATTGAAACGGCGCCGTTTCAAGAATCAAATACATTTTTTAAATGCCTTGGAATGGTTTTTGTTCAACGCCCTCCTTCTCTCCTGTTTCACCTTTATTTTGAATATGATAAGCAAGTATAAGCGAAAATCTCACTCTCACTCTCGCGCTCTCACTCTCACTTTTGCACTCTCTCTCTCTCTCTCTCTCTCACCCTTTTTGCGCTGTCTAAGATCTTTCAAAATCGAAGTCAGAGCCATTTCGAAGCTCTCTCTCAAAATCGATTCAGATCGGTGATTCATCAGAGCCATTTCGAAGTTCTGTCTCAAAATCGATTCAGATCGGTGAGCTACTCTCTCTCTCTCCCCCCTCTGTGTGTGTGTGTGTGTGTGTGCTGTCTAAACCCTAGTTATCTCTGTTAGTTCAGCTTTGTGATTCAGAGATTCAACTTTATAATTTTACTCACAATTCATTTGAATTTGTTGTTGCTTTGATTTTACAAGCTGATTTGTTATACATTTTGCATGTATAATTTAAATGTTAATGGTTTTGTACAGCCGATTTGGCCTTTTTATCAAATTAGATATGCTTGGTCTAATCAAGTATGTTTTGTACTTTGAAAAATTAGCAGATTGATAATTTAAATGTTAATGGTTTTGTTTATCATACATTCTCAAATGGTGGAGGCTGGCCATCACTTGCTTGTGCTTTGTGTTTTTAATTAGGATTAAGATGCTATTATGTTGGTTTGAGTTGCCTAGGGTTATAACTTATAAGAGCTTGACATTGATACATAGATGGTTATTTTAAAATATAAAAAATTATTTCTACCTTGCAGCAAAAGGTTCTTATGGGAAAGAATTTATTGTGGAGGACCTTGCTACTGCTTTTGTACAAAAAAAAATTGTTACAGTTTCATCATATGGTGGTAGCGATATGAAGCAATAGTCCCTCCAGGGAAAGATGTTAAAAGCTAGGGTGGGACTAATAGCCTCCCTTCATAGAAAGCATGGAAATTGAGAAACTACCCCCAAAACAAATTCATATTGGTTTTTTGTACATCAACTGAATTAGAGGAGAAAATACATCAAATGGAGAAGGAACCTTGATTTAGGGTTTCCTCACCAGAAGACTTAAATATGATCTTTTGTTTTAGATGGCTTCTCATTATGTTGTTAAATATGGTTGCTTCTTTTTCTAAGCTAAGGTGCTTGATACGTTTACTTTTGAAGCAACAAATTGGGTTGAAAGTAGTCAACTCTGTTTCTAGTCATTTTCATTCTGGAAGTGGTAAATAGACAACTCTTAGTAACTAACAAAAATGCTCTCTTTTTGTTGCAAACATTAATGCAACAGAGCTTTGCACTTGCAAAAATGAGCAACAGTAGGAACTTGTCCTATTCCTCAATAGTTGAGGTCGAGTTAACAATGATTACTCTTCCAGTCTTTTGTTCTCTCTACTTGAATCATTGTCATGTTGCTTTTCATTCCTCATTTAATTCTCTGTTTTTACTTTCAATTCCATGTTTCTCCTTGTTATTTTTTCTCATGTTCCAAAGCTTTTTGAAAAATTATCCTACTGTGCATGCTGCAACTAATGTTTTTCATGAATGGCTTGTATTAGAGTACACTGATGTAAAAGAAACCGAAATTTGACAACACTGGGCCTTTTAAATGATATGGTTTTTGATGTTCTTTCCTAGGAGGGTAGGCCCAAATGAAATACCTTTAATAGTATGTCTACTTTAACCCTTTTAGATGTCTTTTCATGATTGCTGAAGTTTTCTTTTCTTCTCTATTGTAAGACAAATTTGATAGGTGATTCTACTGGTTGGTATCTGGTTAGTAAGTACTGGAAGAAGGATTGGTTGGTTGGTTGAAAAAGGGTTTTACCTTTATCTGTATGGATCAACCAACAAGTAAAAGAATTTATTATTTTATGATGAAATATAGATGATGGAAGTGAGTAGTACAAGGACTAGAAGCTGTTCTGTTCTGTCTAATTAAGTGGTGTAGCGGCAGCCAATTAATGATCTTTTATTTTAGTGAAACTGCACTCTCAAATCAAAACTCTTTTTATTGTTTCGTTGACTCTCTCTCTCTCTCTCTCTCTCAACATTTCATCAAAGCTGCATTTATACTCATAGCTTGCTTCTAAGTTCAGTGCACATTGGATACAACATTACTACATATTTATAATTATTTATTCAAAATTTATTTATAGTTAATAATAAATAATTTAAATTTATTTCATTCTTGAACTTTACATTTCATCAATTTAATTAAAATGGACAAAATACCTCCTGTGATGTATTTATGTTTACTTCACTGTTGCTAATGCCTTTTTCAATTTTGATAGTTTTTCAAAACATATCCTTATCAGAAAAAATAAAAAATAAAAATTAATCTTGGATAACACATGACCATATAAGAATAGACATTTTACTAATTAACCCTTTAATTAATTTCTAATTTTATAATGTCATGATAGATTAATTTGAGAGAGTGTAGGCTACAATTAACTTCATTTGGAGGGTTATTTGACCCAAAATAAATAAATAAATAAATAAATAATCATCTAGCTAGCATGTGAAAGAATTGTCTTGCATGTAACTTTGTCTTGATTTGTAGTATTATATGGTGAAGTTTGGTCTTCAATTCAAACAAGTTTTCTTCATAGTTATTAACGTGGATAACTATGATTGTGATTGTGATTGTGATTCCTCAACTAATATGATTGTGAATGTGATTCCTCATTTGGTGGTTGCTCTTTGGTGTTTTCTAAATCATCATCATCATCATCATTGGAAGTATTCGAGCTTTGGTACACTTATTGGTTTGGGTAGTGGGTTTGAACTTCCCACATCCATGAGTTCCTGCCAAAATTATTCCATTATTGATTGATTTGAGAAAGCAATGTATTTCTTGAATCTATCATAATCTATCAAGAGCATTGTAGAAACTTTTGGTTTCTTCATTAATATGCTTCATACTAGATATGCTTCTAGTATGCTTGATAGTACTAATTTAGATTGCACCACCGGGATGCAATCATTAATGGTGCATGCATGCATAAATAGCCTTAGACCCGTCCAAGAATACTAAGCTACACAGTTGGGAAATCTTATAACTTAATCCCTAATTTGCCTTGGTGTGTTCTACAATGATATCCTCATCAAGATGCCTTAAACTAGGCCTAAGAATGCCTAGGATGAGATGAGGA